AGTCAGTTTGTAAAGGGGCCCTGCAACAACTTTTAGAGCGCAACTCTTAAGCGCCCGTTTCTGGATTGAGCGCCGTCGGTGTTATTGTCGGCGTAATTAGCGCGGTGCATTGAAATGTCCCATAATGCACCGTGCGGGGGAGGGGAGGAGGGGTATACCCTCCCCTCAGTACCCATCCCTCCTCCTCCTCAAGAGCTGCGCTCTAATTCGGCGTTACAGGGTGTTGTAAACGTCTTTCATTTGTGACAGGTTTTTAATCTGCAGTGAACCTGAGCGTACTGAACGTAGTAACTTAGTAAAACTTTTCTCAAATTTCACCTTATTTTAAAACTTATAGGCAGGTTAGAATTACAAAAACAAGCAAAAAATAACCTCCCACATGACATCCCTGGTCGTAGCTTGGGTGGCCGTGAACTCGAGGAGTGGTAGTGAGCTCAGCGAGCGCTCACGGCTGCCGCACTCCATGGCGACGGCTCGATAGGGCACCTCTCAAGCACGTGCTGGATAAGCTGGATGAAGCGGGCAGCCAGGGTGGTTCGCATTGCATTTGCTGCGCGACAAAACTAATTCTGCATAACACTTCATTGACCACAAACGACAGCAAACACGGGGTAAAGATCAGTTCAGAATAAGAGCCACTTCGCGCTCCAAACCGCCAAACGGCCAAACCGCGCAAGCCAAACCTGCTCGCCGAAGGCCTTTGGAATGCTCAGAACCGGTCGGATCCTGCAGCTCATACGACCGCAGCGCCACTGTGTATATCCGGGACCTTTCTACGTTCGCTGCTTCACAGCAATGCGTGGCGCGCGTCGGCGCTTGATCCTACCCTTTTCTAGTGTGCGCCGCCTTTTCCACCACTTGGTGGCGGGTATGTTGACAGGTCATTTCTTGTTTTCATACTTTATAAAATGAATTTGTTTCTTTTTTGATCTAAAATACTGAACAAAAACTACTTTAAAAATAATAGAAACAGTTTGCGCCACTTATATTCTAACTTCTAATCTGATGCAGGGCTCACAGCTACTGCTGGGTGTTTCTCAGATGCCGCAGTCAACTCCAGTGCCCCTGTTGGATGGCACCAATGACACATCCATCGAAGACGCTCCTGCTTCGCAGGTGAGCCTTGCACAAGTTCTGAAGCCTGGCTGACACGTTAGCGAGCTTCCCCGTCTCAAAATCTAAGCAATTGCAGGGGGTTTCTGACGGTGTTTGTAAGAATGACTGCATTCAAATGCCTTGAAATATTAATGGGGGTGATCTTGCTCTTCTAAAGTTGGGAATACCTTCCAATTCAATGCAGGGCTCACAGCAACTGCTGGGTGACTCTCCGGTGCCGCAGCAAACTGCAGCGCCCCGGTTGGATGGTATCGAAGGCACATCAGTCGGAGACGGCCCGGCTTCGCAGGTGAGCCTTGTGTCCATTCCCAAGCATGTGTGACACATTGGAGAGCTTTCCTGCCAAAAAATCTAATTGTGGGGTTTCTAACTGTATTTGGAAGCATATGACGGCATTCAAATGCCTTAAAATAATATTGGGGGCAGCCTTGCAATTCTCAATTTTGGGGGATTTCTTTCGGCTTCCAGTTCCCCTCTCAATAGTTCTACGTCGAAAATATCAATATTAGGATATAAAATCTAGTTAGGTCTCCTAGCAATTTAATAATTTATTTTGCTAGTCAACCGAAAACTTTCAAATCTTGAAATTTGGAGGAAGGGGGGGGGGGGGGGGGACTTGATTGTTCCCTGAATGTCAGATATAAAAATAACTTAATTTCCACCCTTGTAAATTTCACGGTGCAAAACCAATAAATGAAAAACATTATAGCGAAATCAAAGATATTTCTATTTCTTCTATAGGGATCGCAGCAAGACCTATCTGCAAATAGCGAAGAGGAGTCGGATGATGCAGCCGAGTTAGCTGCTCTCGTCATGTCGTACGTACTGCGCCGCAAAGATGGTGACAAGGCAACTGCTGACCTTCTGAGGATGATTAACATCATTGCCCCTGGAAGTGTACCCCAGTCAAAGTACTTGTTACTGAAGGCTGTACATGCTCGTGCGGTAGAAGCAGAAAAACATCACTACTGCCCTGTCTGCAAAGGGTACTTGGGTCCTCCTGGCAACATCTCAAAATGTGAGAATTGTGAGACTGAGCCAGATCCCGAGTCATATCCATTCTTTTTGGTGTTGCCGATAAAACAGCAGCTGCAGCGGATTCTTGTGCAGCCAGATCTTAAGTGGATGCCAGCAACACCAACAGGGCCCGATATATCGGACATCACTGACGGTGAAGAACATGTAAGACTATGCAGTGACTTTTCAAGTGACGACTTGTCCCTGATCTGGAATACAGATGGCATTAGTTTGAAAAGTCGACTTACGATATTTAACCCATACAGTGCCAAATACTCCAACTGGACCCAACCATACGCAAACGAAACATGCTAATGCCAACTATTTGGTTTGGGTTTACCCAGAGCCGTCTATTGGGAGAGTTTGGCCATTCATTGGTATCAATGGGGCGAAAATCTATTGGTCGAATAGTTGATTGACAGGCCGCTCGTGGCCAATCACAAGCCGCAAAATCTCCCCTAGCGGTGGTCGTGAGCCTCAAAAGTAAAGCAGGGTTCGGTAATTTCATTTTAGCGTCGCTAGAGTTAAAAAAGTTAACGCTCGGTGACTGAAAACTTGGTGCATGTGAGCTTTTCGTCATAGCCTTCTTTAATGGTAGAATAAACGAATGCGCACGCGGACACGTGCGTTGGAATAACGTAAACAAAAGTTGTGTAGCCGCGGGAGTTCCGCCGTTCCGGTCTTGTTTGAAAAATGGGTCGTTGTTGTGCTCTGAAGTGCCGGAACAGAGCTTCCAGGGGAATTCGCTTGTTCAAGCTGCCGAAATCCCCGAGGAGACGGAAACTGTGGCTTTCAGGAATCAGGCGTGGCGCGGGGTGGAAACCTCCCGACAGAACGTACCTTTGCGAGGTGAGGTATTGTTCATTGTTAATATTGTGACGCGAGCACGGTGGACGCCAGTGCACTGTGACGAAACCGTGTATTTTGTGATCTATTCTCTACTGCCGTGGAAGCGTCCTGTGCGCTTTCGCTTCACCGCAGAAAGACGAGTGGTTCAGGCCTGTGGCGGTCGTGCGATGATGGATTTGTAAGATCGCGTATTTTGAAAGCGTGAGCCTCTCGTCAGCGGAATAACTGTACTGTGACGCGAGCGGCTGAATACACAGTTTTGACGTCTACCAAAACGTTATTCGCTGCAGGACCACTTCGAGCCCTCCCAGTTCCAGACGAGGTGCTCTGACGGCTGGAGGAGGCTAAAAGCCACAGCTGTTCCGAGCTTGTTTCTGCATTCTGAAAGTCAAGTGAGTCCGTGTAACGAGGATAAGTGAGATTTTTGTTCTTTTGGTATTTACCTAGATTATGAGAGTGAATTAAAAGCAATAATTTATCTTGTGTTAAGATGTTTTTACTGATATGATTTGAAAGAGGCACAGGTGACCTATAATAATGTGGACTTGGTAGGCTGTTGACATCTCTGTGACCTTTTTTTTTTTTTTTTTTAAATCGGAGTGGTCCTTGTGCAAGAGTGCATGAGACACCATCATTCAGTGTTGCAGCCTGACACAGCACAAAACCCCGCCTCATGGAAATGTAAGTCAAAACCCAATAACTCATATTCTGTTGCTTCTATTAAGTTAATGCATGAGGCATTCATCACTCTCAGCTGCCTTGTAATGTTATGACAGCCTCACCAGCTAAGTATCTGTCATGGTTCTTGCATGGCTTGGAGTGATCTCGTGAGGTGGGCAACACCCAATGGACCATTTGCAGAATTAGTGGTTCGAGAGTGCATGGCTAAAAGACGAGAGTTCCCTGGCCGCAGGCACGTCCACTGCGTCCCAATGGCTTATTGTGTCGCAGTGACTTAGATAGAGCTCCCCCAAAACCACTTTTGTCCCCCTTGAGGATTATCTTTCACCCCGAGGTAAATACAAAGAAGCCTTCGTCCCTCTCCGCTCGGCCAGCATGAAGAGAAAGAGAGAAAGGGCGACAAATCCATTTATTCTCGAACCCATATTTCTGCAAAACGAGGATTCTCCTACCGTGTTTGCAGCAACCAGCGGCCAGGACCTCCGGAGCGACCCTGCAGGTCGGCCTGCTGACGCAGCCGCTCCCCACCACCAGCGGGGCGTGCTTCGTGAGCATCTTCCAGGGTCCTGCGTACCCCCGTGTAGCAATACCACCACGCTCTTCGCCGCAGGTGACCAGTGACAACCAGCGCGGCCAGGCCAGCTCAGCTGCCCGCGGCACCTTGGTGTCGGCACACTCCACCAGCTGGGTATGTGGTTCTTGCACGGCTTGGAGTGATCTTGTGAGGTGGGAATCACCCGATTCTCATACCGTGTTTGCAGCAACCAGCAGCCAGGACCTCTGGAGCGGCCCTGCAGGGCGGCCTGCTAACGCAGCCGCTCCCCACCACCAGCGGGGCGTGCTTCGTAAGCATCTTCCAAGGTCCTGCGTACCCCCGTGTAGCAATACCACCGCACCCTTCGCTGCAGGTGACCAGTGACAACCAGCGCGGCCAGGCCAGCGCAGCTGCCCTCGGCACCTTGGTGTCGGCGGCCTCCACCAGCTGGGTATGTGTCATGGTTCTTGCACTGCTTGGAGTGATCTCATGAGGTTGGCAACACCCAATTCTTGTACCGTGTTTGTGGCAACCAGCGGCCAAGACCTCTGAGCGAACCCTACAGCCTCTTTCTCCATCATACATTTTACCTAAACTCACTGAAGATGTCTTTCTTCAGATGAGCCGGAAGATCAAGCAGCTGGAGAACGAGAATCATCGCTTGGTGAGGCAGGCTGCCTTACAAAAGACAAGGGAAGCGACATTCCGGTCTCACTTGCACAAGTTCTTCACTGCGGACCAACTGGCAGCTCTATCGAGATCCGGCAACAGGGGGTCCAAGTGGTCTAATGAGACGGTGAAGAAGTCGCTGCAGATGCGATTTGCATGTGGCAGCTTGGGCTACGACTTGCTACTGGAGGGGAGCTTCCCATTGCCGTCGTCTAGAACTCTGGGGCGGCGGCTTGAAGGCAAGTTTGTTGTCAAACCACTCAAATGCTTCAAAGCTCCCTGTTGATTATTTGCAGATATAATATCCTTGTTAGTAACTGTAGTGTTTTTGTATTTTACACAATTTATTTTTAAATAAGTTGGTGTCATGGTTCCTTTTTCACTTAGTTGCTGTGTGGTATGAAGGGGTAGATTATTGATATTGTTTTGGAATGATTCTCTCATCGCAGGCATACAGCACTAGTTTGACCTCAGTATCTTGCACGCGTCGAGATGTGAATTCAAGTTTAGAGGGGGAGTGTTTCCTTCACTCCCAATTTTTGTAACCTTGCTGATGCGACCATGGAGGTAATTATGCTGACGGTGTCTAGGAGAGCACCCTGTAATGATGATGGTCGAATGAGGCTTATGGATTCCATACGAGCACTGCATGAACACTTGACTTGGGTTCGTGACAATAAGTGCCTCGGCAAACATTTGGGCAGCTCATGACTAATCTCTGCACACGAATGGCCAAAATTAAACACTGTTTACAGCTCAGCACATGCTGCACATGTTGCCATCCCCAACCTATGACTATACAGAGTCCTCACGTGACGTCATTCTAGTCACCATTCCCAGGTACTAAGCGTCCCATTAATGTAGTGGAAGGTAGGTCTAATCTGCACCCCGTGATTGGCGCGGCCCTACTAGAATAAAACGTCATCATCTCACCTACCAATCGTGTGTGTCCTGTGTCCTGTGATGTCGAGATCGCTCTAGCGCTCTTATCAGTTGCTTTGGGACTCGCGATGAGTTGGCCGCGTGCCGTTCGTTCGGTGATGTGCACAGTTTCTAAGTGCTGGCAAAGTCGCGATTGCAGCGAGTTAGCGCAGTTGAGTGCGCTTCTTAACGAGCACCGGTGTGCTGTGCAGAAGCGACACTTACAGAGAAAACACCGTGATTGTGCGTATTTCGCAGGCACTGCGATTGTGCATTGAGTGGAAGGCACACCTCCAGAGGAGAAGAGGTCATGCGCGTGTGCGACGAATGCAGGAAAACATTGTAATGTAGCGTAATGATTGTTCATGTTCCTGGTCAATATAAGTGCTTACCTCAAGGCCAAAAAAAACAAAAAAACTGGCTTTTACCATGAATCTGTGGTACTCTACAATTGAGGTTCCGTCAAGCAGTGTGCATCATTGCTCATCATTTCTTTAGTCTAAGATTTAAAACGAATATTTGGGTATAGCAAGAGGACTGACAAATCTCTCATCTACTTACAATCTCTATGTAGGGCTCAGAATTAACTGAGCCTTGGCAGTGGGTAGGCAGATACTTGAGAATAACCTAAATGAAACCAGCTAGATTTTCCTTTACAAAGTATAATCATTGCTCACATGCTGAGTTTGTGCACTAGAAAGCTATATCTACAGGAAAAATGCTGTTGACAAGGAGAACTAAATGACAAGCTTCATTTGTTGCTTCGATTAACAACTGCAGAATTTACGCACATCCTTGAGAACGTGAACAAAACATACTCAAAATTACTCTTGTCTAACCTCATTTCAGTGGATTACTGTGCCCCTTGATATTAGGTGTTTTAGGTATGATAGTCTTTATATCATATCTAAAATGACTTTTTATTCATACTCGTTCACACTCATCCATCACTCGAATACTATAATGTTTTGAAAAATGTGTACTAAGGTAAGAGTGCTAAGCTAAGTTAGCATGTAGCTTAGCTTGTTTGTAGCTAGCTAAGCTAGTTACACACGACTGGAAGCTAACTTAGGTTAGCTTCCATTAAGCTAAGCTACCTTCCGCCATCTTGACATCAACACTCTCAAGATGGCGGAAGCTGAACGCAATGGCAGTATCAGAAAGGCACCGCAAGTATTCAATATGCGATTCGAAATTATTCGACCCAGGTCAATATTAGCTTCTTATTCGCTTGAAACATAAAATTTGTTATTCGCACATGCCTGGTTAAGGGGAAACTAAAGCGGTTTTGTACCTTTAAAGAACACTTGCATCATCTTCATATTGCCTCCAGTATCACGAATATTAAAATTATTTGTCAATTTGAGGCCCGGAGTAGCCATCAAAGCATTTTGACCATAGCGCTGAAGCCCCGCCCTCCCGAGGTGTAAGAAGCTAGGAGGAAATTTCTGAGAGACAGCAGCGTCGCAACAAGGATCCTCGGAATCTCTGCAGCTATTGCAAGCTTATTTGAGCGGTCAACTAATTGTGTGCGATTCACCTCATGCTCACGATTTTCGCTCGCCTGTTTGTTTTGACGTAAGTTTAGTACACCTATAAACTTTCATAAAAGATTTAGCGGATGTTGGTCAGGCGTGAAAGATTGTAGCGGGAACTAGGCGTCTGTAGCAGATGACGCACCATTTCACGAGAATAAAAAAAGCACTGCATTGGGCAAGGCTGGTCACATGTGCCGGAACACTGCACGAGAGATGGTGCTTGAGCTTCGGTGGCCAGGTGAAAGTTCTTGACGTGACATCATGCCGAGTGAATTTTTTAAATATTTCTTTGCGTTGGGTGATACTTCTTGAGCAAATAGTGCATATTCAAATTTGCAGGATACAAATACGGAAGAATTTACCTCTAACTCATTTTTTTTGGAGAACCTCTTTAGCTTCCCTAAAGTGTTTTCAACAAAATCAGTCAGTGGTTCACAAATCGGACTCGGTGACACTTTTAGCAACGCCCAGCTACCAAAGTAACCATGGAGTGTACTTTACTTCAGTGCTGGCATTCATCACCTTTGCTCATGAAGTGGAACTGCCAACTTTAGGAGAATGGCAAAAACTCATAGAAAACCAGCAAAAACCATTCGTATGGACAACAGGAATGGAAGTTAGCAGCCTTTTCTTCGTTTAGTGCCCATGCTGTTCTTTTATTGACTGAGGGGGAAGTTTCAAATCATTGATTCCTTCAGTTGTGTTTACCAAACATTGCATACACTTGATGATCTAAAGCAGTTCTGTGTTTGTAGGTGAGCACTGCCCTACGGGTCCTCAGTCACTCCACGGCCACTGCCCTGCGCTTCCTGGTGGAGAATCATGGCTGGAGCACCAACTTCCTCACCACGGCTTGGTTCTTGGAACAGGTCAACAAATGGTTTGATCTTATGAGCAGCAGGCACCCAGTCCTTGCGATCAGCAGGCAAAATGAGGCCTGCTACAAGAACACCCTTGTCTTTCTGGTCAAATTTAAGGATCTTTTTATCCACCTCACTATTGGGGATGGGGCGTTCAAGCCAGTGCAGGCGGGGGTAATCCTCTCTACTAAGTCCATTCTGGACCTGCAGCAAAGTCTCATTGAGAGACATTCTTTTTCATTTGTGCTCACATCCAGATTCACGCAGGACTGCCATGAAAACTTGTTTTCGGTAGTGCGACAGGGCAACCCTATCACAACTTCTTGGAGTTTAAGATGACCTTGAAAATCATCACACACTCGCAGTACCTGAAGGCGTCCAAGGCAGGGTCCTACGAACTGGACGATGCCTCCTTTTACCTGGCTGACCTCGCATACTTGGATGTACAACGTGCTGTGCCCACCGACATTTTTCTTGAGGAGGTAGAACTCACCATGTCACAACCTGAGGAGGATAGCTTTGACTATTACGCTGGTATGTGGTACGAAGAGTTGTAAAAAATAATGCTACATGTGACATGTGTGCTGCAGCTGTTCGAGTCCCCATGGCACCTGCAAATAGCCTCCTCAGGCTAAAGAGTTATGTCCCTGACGCTCTGACCTGCCCCTCTGAAGCTGCACGCACCCTCTTCACAATTTGTGAAAGTGTCTTTCGCAGCCTCATTGCGGATTTGATGCATGCACGGGGCATCCTGGACGGCCTATCGGCGAGGATGGCTGCAGAGAGCCAATGTGTTCAGCTGCCCAACTGCCATGAAATCAAAATGAAGCTCATCAGGCGATTCTGCCATGCACGGCTGCAACTGTTCCTGCGGGAAAAAAGTCGCGAGTTGGCGGCTGGGGCAGCTGAACGCAGGGACTTCGGCAGTCGATGGCAGGACCTCGGAGAACTAATTAGTGTTTTAGATTGCCTTAGTTGATGAAACTGGTGTCCCGTTCTCATTTTTTTTTTACTTTACTTTCTTCTTTGTGTTAAGGGCAGCTTTCAATTTTTGCGTTCCTTGTTTACCGAGGCACTTCTGAATTTTTTTTACTCTTGCAACGGTTGTTTGTGCGAGGCCCTTTTTCTTGTGATCTCCATGTAAGCCTACGTGAAGCCTCTGCATTTTTTTTTATGCTTGCAACACATGTTTGTGGGAAGTTTCTTGTGCTGTGCTTGTAAGCATCTGTAATTTTTTTATGCTTGCTACGGGTCTGTGAGAAGCCCATTTTCTTGTGCTGTGCCTGAGGCCTCTGAATTTTTTTACGCTTGCTATGGGTCTTTGTGGAACACTTTTTTTCTTAGGCTCTGCCTGTAAACCTGTGTGAGGCCTCTGAATTTTTTTTACGCTTACTAGAGATGTTTGTGGGAAGCTCTTATGCTCTACGTGCAAGCCTGCATGAGGCCTCTGGATTTTTTTCATGCTTGCTTCAGATGTTTGTGGGAATCCTTTCTTTTTCTTGTGCTCTGCGTGCAAGCCTGCATGAGGCCTCTGGATTTTTTTCATGCTTGCTTCAGATGTTTGTGGGAATCCTTTCTTTTTCTTGTGCTCTGCGTGTAAGTTTGCGTGAAGCATCTAAATTTTTTTCACACTTTCTTCAGCTCTTTGTGGGAAGCTTGCTTTTTCTTATGCTCTGCATGTAAGCCTGAGTGAAGTCCCAGAATATTCTTTTTCTTTTACGCTTGCTTCAGATGTTTGTGGGAAGCTTTTCTTTTTTTGTGCTCTGTGCGTATGGCTGCATGAAGCCTCTGAATTTTTTTACGCTTGCTACGGTTCTTTGTGGGGAGTACTTTTTCTTCTGCTCTGCGTGTAGGCCTATGTGAAGCTTTCGCTGTCATGCAAACTTGCTCTTCTGTATCATGTTTTTTTTTTCTTGTCCTCCTTCTTGTGCTGTGCACTGCTTATGTTTCACTCATCCCTTTTTGCTTCATGTGGATGTTTGTAGCCTACACTTTCCTTCCTGGTGTCTTGCATGAAAGCCTATGCAGAGACTTCCTGCCCATGTTAGCTTGTCTTTTCCCCTGTCATTCTTCTGTTCACTTTCCTCGTGTCATTCGCATACCTCAAAATATGCACTCTCTCTGTATCCTCAAGTTTATCACTTCTGCACTTGCTTAAGACATTTGCAAGCCATCCCTTTACTTCATGAGCTTTCCATGTGAGCCTTCACCGTGCAGCACCTTTACGCTTCTGGGAGCCTATGCTTTGCCTCCGACCCTTTTGGTCTATCCACTTGCCTATTTTAATTTTGCAGTTTCTGTGTTTTTTCTTGCAGAGGCATGAGACCCATGTCCCCTCCATGGTCATCGGTTGCAGCTTTTGGGTCTGTCTCATTTTATTTCATTGTAGTTGCAGACTTAATTATTGTCAGGTATCTGTGTGTTAGTTTGTTTGCAGTAGACCTAACTGCCGCCATTTCCTTTCCGTGAGTTAGTTTTTGTCAGACGCTCGTACTCAGTGTAACAGGTGCAAGGGCTGGGTTTTGTTGCTGTGTCCAGGATGTTGCAAGGAGACTGCTGGCCAATGGACTTCTTCCAAAACCGACGCGCCCAATTGCAGCGAAATACCATGCAGTGCATTCTGGGAACTAGTTGGCCACTCAGTTTCGGTTTCGACTGAGCAGATTCATCTCATGCTATCACGCCGCGACCGAACGCACTGCTTGCAATTTCGATTACCTGACTTTTTTACGAATGTACAATATACTCATTCTCGAGCGATAGAAAACGAAGGCCGGGGCACTTTTTTTGGTTCCCGAAACACCGGATATTTGAGTGCGTATGGAAACGTATTAGGACGTGGCTTATTCACATCATCTTTGAGTTCAATTTCAATAATCCCGTCTAGTACCATTGAACTACAAGTGAAATTCGGTCACCTGGAGCATTACACATATTTTGTTTGCCAAATGTCTGCTTCTTGTTACTTCATTGGGCGAAAAGCAAGCCACATCTTCACAGGAGTATCAAAGTTGAGCCCAGCGTTGACGCGTAAACTTTTAAGGAAATGCAATAAATTCGACCTCACTACTGCACCAAAGTTACTATGATGTCTTCCTCGTGTCATCATATATCTCCCACTCAAATTTTATGCTGATAGACGATTAAGTTTTCGCAAACGCGGAGATGGGCTAGCTACAACTGAGGCCCTAACAAGCGTCCCCTACTCCTCGCGAAGCCTTTTTGGACGAGCTTTTACTGACGCCCAAGATCTGTGCCTGAACGGTGTGTCCGAAATTATCGCAGCATACTCAGGCAGGAAGAAAGCTAACACATGACAAATATTATGACCATTAGCAACCGTCAAATGCACTTTGAAAAATTTCGTTCGTTTGGCGCACCGCATAGGGGTTCATACCCGTCCGGCGTACTTCTGGCGAATGGTGCAACATTTTTCACACAAGTGCTCGACTTTTGCTTTCTTAAAACGGTCTGTATGCGCGAATGTGCCTATACGATTGCAGGATAACTTTACGTGCATACGCGATGTTGAATATTAGTAAAATGCAAGTGGGTGGGGACTTCGCTTCGTGCAGTGCTGCGGGTCAGTACAGATAAGAGATAAGAAGCTTTTCAGTGGCACCTCAGAGTTTTACTTCGCATACACAGGCGTATTAAGAAAACAGTAATTGCAAAAAGTAGTATTTCTTCTATGGACGCACGAAACGAACAAACTTCCTGATCAACAACATATAATGTAAAGGCGCGAGCTTGATGTATGCATACTTATTGGTTGCTACAGCCTGTTGATTCGTACATAAGCAAGATCCCCGAGCTTCGCAGCGTCGAGATTCCCAGCACTGGCTCGTCCAGATACCTCGAAACGCTAACAAAAAGGCTCAAGTACAAAAATAGAACAAGCATGTGTTAAGAGAAGCTATATACGTCTCGGGCTTGTGCTAAAGCTTCGAGGTCTGGCCATTTAGGTTAGTTTATAGACCACAAATGACGCTCTCGGGACCAGAAAACATGAGATAATGGCCGTTTATAGTCCACGCTCTGTGTGTAATCTCTGGTCGACGTGTCGATCGAAACCGAAACCATGCCACTCTCCTCCCTGGCCAACTAGTTCCCAGAGTGCAACGCGCGCCGTGTTGCATGCAGGGCTTTATGGAAGTAGTCTGTTGTGTGCATGCATCAAGAATAGTTGTGTGTCAGAAGTTCCTTTATTTCCTTGTTTTTTGACTCCATACAGACCAATGTTGAAATTGTTGGTGGCTGCTTCATCCATGGAGTGCAAGGATCATACCTATTTGTTTATTAGGGAATAATTGACATGGCCGTGTTATACATGTTTGTTACATGGTCACTGGAAAGTGTGGGAAAAGAGAGAAAGCCCATGGCCGTTGCACAGGGAAGCCCCCAGAAACACTGACCCCTGGTGGTGGCATGATCCAACACTTTGCCGCACAAGCTAAAGGTTCATCTTGGTTGGTGTCCCCCGTGCCTGAGTGGGGCATCCTTGCACTGCTTAAAATGCCTGCTCAGTTCCTGGTCCATAGCCTGGTTTTTTCACTTGTTAACTGCCAATCAAGTTAGTGCCCACTGGTAATTTCATCATCTGACTAAAAATGAGTTGAGTTAAAGCGTCTGGGGCACAACTGGCCCAGGTGGTGCTTCATTGTGCCATGGTGGATTTTACCAAAGTCATGCAGTTTTCGACAGCCTGGAAGATGATCTTGGTCCCCATTGTTCTACAGCTCCCATGTTTCTTTCAAAAACAGGGCTGCTTTCTTTAAGCTTGCTAGGTCTTTCCAGGTCTACCTTTGGCTCCTGGGTCTCAGTGATGAGGTCCATGCAGCAAACTCTAGGACAAAAGTTGAACACGAGCTCTGTTGGAGATTGTCCTCCTGTGGTAGGCGGTGTGCGAGGGTACACAAGGAGCCATCTTGGCAACTATGCGGCCAAAGAACCACCCGAGAGTTTCTTTAGACTGTCCTTGATCGTTCTGACAGCTCTCTCGGGAAGTCTGTTTGACTGTGGATAGTTAGGTGCAGTCCTTAGGTGGCCAATTCCATTCTGAGTAATGAAGTCGGTAAACAGCGTGCCGGGGAGTGGTGTTCCATTATTGGACACCAAGCAAACAGGAAGTCCTAACCAGGCGATCGTGTTCCTCAGATATTCGACTGTTGCAGTGGAGTTGGCTGGCTGCTGATGCCAGTGGTTTCTTTCAATCTTGGTAACTGTTTACCACAATTAGCACCGTTTTACCTTCGATAGGTGCAGTGCAGTCCATGTAAATTCTTGTCCATGGAACCGTGGGTTCTGGCCAAGCTTGTGGCTCTGCTTCTGGTGGCATTAATGCAGCCTGTTGGCATATTGTTCAAGGTTGTACGGCATCAACCATTGCCTTACCTCATTGCGTTGATACCCATGCGTGTGTCATGGAATTCTTGGAAGAAGGTTAACCTCCTATGGGCCTTTTGACTCCGTGGATGATGTGTGACGACACTGGTCCAACTGCCTCTGGAGGTGTGGCACATTCAGGATCAGTTCCTCAGTGTGGTTGCGATACACCAGGAGCCTGACGCAGCAGTGTCTGCTTTGCCTTGTTAAAGCCGTCGTCTTCCTTTAATACACACCTCTATTTCACATTTTTCCGGAGCAGGTGGTTGAATGGAGCCAATAGCTGAAACATTTGAGGCAGGCAGCTTGCATGCTATAGATGATGAATCCTGAGAAATAACAAAGTGCATGGCAATTCCATGGAGCAGGAACCTTCAGGTTGGCTTTCAGCTTGTTGAGATAGGTAGGTAAGTCTATCTACCTAGTGATCGAGCTGAACGACTGACTTGCTTGCATCCAAGCTCGCAGGAAAGTCCTCAGAACTACTGGCCCTCTGGTAGCCGGACCCATCAGTGACATTGCCTTTATCTTTTGTAATTAGGTGAAAGCTTGGTAACTTACTCGGGTGGACGAATATCAGATTTTTGTCATTTCACATCATTCATGCTATCTAATTAATTAATTTGAAGTTTTTTTGAGTGTCCAAATTGTGAAAATATTTTGAACTTTTCCATGGTATATACTGGTAGTTTAGTGGCTGGATATTAAAACTGAATGTGTGACAAATGTTAGAAAGAAGGTCCTGTCGGTGCCCATGCAAACGACCAGGGGCGGATCCAGACCTCCATTTTAGGGGGGGCGGTTCCTCGATGTAAAACGGCGGGGAGGGAGTGTTTATATTTTTTGTAGAGTTATCGTTTTTACTAAACTCTGTTAACATAATATAGATCTTGAGAGCTTTTGTATCGGTTTACCTGTCGGGGATGAACTCTTTGAATTAAAACCTTTCGGGTGACCACGCTAGAGGCAAGTATCTCGAAAATTGTGGTGGCACTATCCTTTCTGGAACTTGGGTTTCAGACCGACACTACGTGAGCAGTCGATTTAGGGAAGCTTAAAGACATTGCCTTGGCAGACATTCTGGTTGGAGCTAGTGCTTAACTGCTGCGGCAACGGGAAGAGCGGCTTAAATCAATGGAGCGAGTACGTCACAAACAAGCGACAAAAATGGCCCGGCGGCTTCGACGCTGCTCGCGGCGTCAAAACACTGTTGACGCAGCGAGCGAAACGAAAGCTGTCAGGCAAGTTCGTCGGTTGTTCGCCGTATATTTGGAATGTCTAGAGCGCAGCACATGCGGCATTGCCAACCCAAACTCGTGTTTTCACGTGTTCTGGATGCAACTCGAGAGAACGAAAGAGAATAATTGTTGAATATTTATGAAAGCATGTTGCAGTTCTGCAACTATAACTTTTAAACTTAGATAAGACCTTAAACCAGCAATGGATCCTTCCAAATTATATTCAATTGCAATTCGTCTGGATATTTTCTGTGTGAAAAGAACACTTGTTTCTGGTTAGTTAGCTCATTCGTCAGGGTCGAGAGGACAGGTGCAGAGATATGATGGGGCAGAGCGGTTGTCCGGTCGGCGAATCTCAACTGGGCTAAAGGCCGATCACGACTGCAGCATGGATGTTTGGGAGTCGGTGTTCACTCGAAGGGGCACAGGCACTCTCTATTTAATTTATGTATAGTCGGATCTTTGAAAAGGCTCGTTTTCCCCAAGTCCCTTAGGTAGGGAATTCGAAGCCGCAGTCAGAAACCAGCAAGCCCCGCCTCTGTTCCATTAGACACACACATATTCGCTCCTGCAAAGCCGGGCGAAAGCTCTGCCGTCAATCCACAGGAGCCGCGTTTAACTCGAAAAGTAAAGACGGCGCCAAGGGGAGACAAGGGGTAGCGGGCGCCTTTCCTAAAATATGTCCCGCCACCCTAAGTTGAAACGGCATTGTATACAAATAAATGCCTACGGCGTCGGCTTGAGGACCCCGTGTAAGCTAGGGTGCCTTCATGAGCGCACATGAAGGCTCCCTAGCGTAAGCAGCCTCCAGCCTTTAGAGTGCTCGTACCGTTTATCTTTCTTTTATTAGCTTCCCGCCACGAGAAGTCGTACCGCAGGCAGTATGAAGCCCATTAGAGAAAACATCTCCCCCTTCTGGCACTCGTCGGCTTCTTTCTGTATTCCGCGCTGCGGCGCTGATCTGATCCTCAGTGAGGGATGGAGGCGAGGATGAAAGCGGGCTTAGGTCGTGGGGAAGTCCAGAGCGTCTTCAGGAGAAGCTCAGACCCCGACTACACTGTACCCAGAGCATTTGCTTCCTCTCTCAGTTGAGAAGAAAAGCAACTGGTCTCCTGGTTGTACAAGCTGTATCCTGCGTCGATTGCTTACGTTTTTTTTTCGAGCTGACGAAGAACCCCGGGGGGAGGGGGGGGGGGGGTGCCTGGCGAGGCGTTTGGGAGGGCGATCACCCCCACCGCCCCCCCTTGGATCCGCCACTGCAAACGACACCGCTATTTTAGAACCCCATAAATTGTCGGAGCAGTATAGAAAGAGGGAACAGTGCAATTTATTAGAAACGAAAGAAGGGGTCCACCGTGCACATCGGTACTGGTTTGGTGATTGGATGAGTCAATTCAGGGACGTTCAGCGCTTGTATGAAGGCTTCCTAGAGGCCGTTTCATTCACATAATGTGATCCTTCCAAGAAAAAAAACGAGTAAACTGACCTTGTAGTATTTTTCTTCGTTGTTGAATTCATTCATCCAGATCTCAGTTTAGTTGGTTAAATTATTCATATCCTTTTCATTAAAAGTCTCTATATAGCAGCACGTGTCGGTATCATTCTATGAAGTCTGTTCGTAGACGATAGCGTGGCACCTCAACAGGACCCCGTTGAGCAAAATGACTGATCTTGTTGAGGCGAATGAAGTGCCTCATGAACGAAGGCAACAGTGAGAGTGAGAGACGCACCCACTCACGAATGTTTAAGTCCTCACAAAGGAAAATGTGTCTAACGAACTTAGCAACGTTTCTATTAGAGCCCCGTCTGTCTTCACTGACATACTCAGCAACTCTGGGCATTTCCGTGCCCAGCGCCAGTGCTCACCATTAATAAAACGCAGTCTTAAAATGTTTGAGTCGTGTATACGCTCTGTGCAGGATTATCTCTCTAGAAATTATTAACTATACGAGAAGGGCGCAAACTTTTGTCGCGATGAACAAAGAAGGTAGTGCTCCTCGGCCAGACTAGTAACTCTAGCGCGACTAACATCACCGACATAAAAAAAAAAAACTAGCTTTTTAGCAACCTAGGTTTTTCAAAAAGGTTGTTTACGTTAAAACATAGAAAACACAATCAGCAGGCCGTGTTTGGCTCGCCTCCGAGCAGCGGTTGCTGTTGTTAGCTTGGAGACTATGCTGGGCTGTCGATGAGAAAGCTGTCGTAAAATTTCCAAAAATATATATTTATTATTGGCGCAGTTGGTTCTGTAATTGTTTACTCAGACTTCTTTTTGAGCGTGTTCTAAGAGCCATGTTAACAGGTAAAAAGAAAACTAAAAAGTTATACTTCTCTTATTTGTTTGCAGCACAGTCAACAAGCTGCAAAGAGCAGCATGAACAAAATGAACCGGGAAAGGTGTCCAGCCACCAGCAAGCTGACGACTGCGCCACTTCACCATGCTGTGCCACGACGCCAAATTGTGTGCCAACGCCAAGCTGTGCCACGACGCCAAGCCACATCGCTGATGTACCAGATGAGCCTCCGAGATTTTGCTCAACGCTTTCCACCAACCAGAACCAAATGTCTGACGACGACCCGTCGTTGCCAATGCCGACTAACGACCTGGACAAGCAAGCCAGGCAAGCACGGGGTCCTTTTCAGCCTCATCTGGGCAGCTATGCCCAAACAGAAACGAATAATCGAAAGCGCAGCTTTTGTGAACACTGGTTTGCAAAGTTCAGCTGGCTTGAATACAGTCCAGCAAAAGATGCAGCCTTTTGCTTTTGTTGTCGGGCGTTTCCGCTGGGCAGTGGTACCAAAGCACATTTAGACCCATCCTTTGTTTCAACTGGGTTTCGAACTTGGAAGAAAGCGATAGAAAGGTTTAATCAGCATGAAAGGTCTGAGGGCCATCTTAACAGTGTTGTGTCATGGAATTGCTCCAAAGCAAACAGATCGATTGCTTCAATGCTGGATGAAAGCTTTGAACGACGAGCGTCTCAAGTTGAAGAAAAACGAAAACAAAATCGTGAGGTGCTAAAGCGCCTTACTGACATCGTTGTTCTTCTCTCAAAGGGAGGAAGCCATTCAGAGGGCACAGTGAAAATAAGGAAAGCGCAGAGCAAGGTCTATATTTAGAGATAGTTAATATCTTAAAGAAGTATGACCCCGTTTTGCGGGGCCACTTAGAGTCAGGCCCAAAGAACGCCTCCTACATCAGCAACAGAATACAAAATGACATCCTAGAGTCACTGCATTCAGCCATTTGTTCTTCGATTGTCCACCGCATAGAAGGTAAAACAGTCTCGCTCATGTGCGACGAAACAAGTGACTGCAGTCATCATGAACAACTCTCTGTTGTTATTAGGTACTTCTGCGAAATTAAGAACAGGCCTGTGGAGGTCTTCCTTACTCTTGACAGGCTTAAAAATTTAGACAGCGACTCTGTGTTTTCCACATTGCAAGCAGTTCTCAACACCATCAATGTTTCCTGGAATTCTGTGAGTTCCATCTGCTTTGACGGGGCTTGTACTATGTCAGGGCACGTTGCTGGCGTTCAAGCAAAGTGCAAAGAGCAGAACAACAAGCTCGTCTACGTTCACTGCTATGCCCACAGCTTAAACCTGGTGCTTGTCGATGCATGCTTGTCTTGAGCAGAAAACAGAATGATGTTTGATTTCTTTGGCGTTGTGCAACTTGCGTACAACTTTATTGAAAACAGTGTTGTGAGCCATGCTGTTTTTGAGCGAATTTTCCAAACTGTCGGCACACAGCTGAAAACTTTGAAGTCTTTGTCTACAACCAGATGGGCATGTCGTGCTGAAGCAGTAAAGGCCAGTTCGCTGTGAGAGCTACAGCGAACTGTCGAGTGCAGTAAGAACGATTGTGGACTCCACAAAGCACCCGGAGACGAAAGCAAAAGGCAAGGGACTCCTTTCCCAGGTGATGAGCTTTGACTTTGTCTGCAGCATGGAAATAGCTCACCCTATTCTACAGCTTATTTTGAAGGTTATCCGAGCTCTTCAGGACCCTAAAATTAACCTTACCACTGCACTCAATGAAGTCAGGCATCTGCAAAAAGCGCTGCGAGAGATGAGGCAAGATGGGACAGTCTTTAAAAAGATGTTTGCGGAAGCTTCTTCGATCTGCGAGATGAATGAAATCGAGATTCCCGAAGTTCGAAGAAGAAAGGTATCGAAGCGATTTGACCAAAACTGGGCGAATGAATGTTTCTATGCGACAAAAGAGGAGGAATTTCGTGTCGGTGTTTTCTTTCCGATGCTTGACTCCTGTGTTCGAGGGATCGAGGAAAGGTTCACACAAGAAACTTTTGAGCTTGTGTGTGCTCTCCAGAACCTTTTGGGCCTCTCTGTGAGCGAACGAACAAATATCTCTTATTTGTAGCTTTTTGAGGTAGATCCCGACAGCTTGGGTGCTGATATGCAACTCCTGAACTCCCGAACCAGCGACGAAAAAACAAACAGCATGACCGCCTATGACTGGCTAGATTCACTCAAAGAAAATGGGTTGGACAAGTCAGTATTCAAGGACTTTTCTCGCGCTCTTCAACTTTTTTCCACGATTCCTGTAACCAGTTGCTCGTGCGAAAGGACATTTTCGAAGCTCGCACATGTAAAGACCAAGTTAAGATCCATGATGTCGCAGGAACGGCTTCGTTGGCTGATGCTGCCCTTTGTGGAGCAGGACCTAGCAACATCCATCAGTTTTGATAATATCTTAAAGCATTTTACGACTAAAACGCGCAAACTTTTGTTATGAATGTGTTTTAATTTCGCAGGATATGCTCTCGCATTAACCTACAATGTTGCATAATTCTACTTTATCCTTAATCGGTTGACAGCCGGCGGAAGAGGGTGCTTTACAGCCGATTCCGTCCGAACTAAGGTTCGCCTCTCACACTGATAGTATTTTTGCACAGCTCAGCTTGAATAGTACTTTTGTATAGTGTAGTAATTTTACTGTGTGTTACTGTTTTCATTTGCACCAGCCCTGTTGTTGTGTTGTGTTAAATGTTTTTTTTAGAGTACCGTTTGTGAACTGAAATTGTGTATCGTCTGAGCCCTCGTGTGATTCATCTTCTTTCTGTGTTTTGTGATGGCGCTTGTGCCCTACGAGTGCAAGCTGTGGTTTCTTTATCATGGGGGTCTCCACTTTTGTTTGGCAATAAATCGGTTTTGTTGTTAGAAAAGTTATCTCATCTTCTTATTTCTCCCACACTTCAAAGCGCATGTAAGTCCACTTTCACGCAGAGCACTCGCAAATCCAATTACTGCGGTCTACGAGGATATGGATACGATGACACGTAACAGTGGCAAGTATGACGTTTTGTGGCATTACGTCATGTTCGGTGTCACAGCTAAGATTTAATTTTTAGGTTCAAACATATTTCAAGCCTTATCATTCTCTGGGCCCCATTCGTAAACCGCAATAATTAGACTTCCAAGTAATCTGCGGGAAAGTAAACTGAAAGGTAGTTTTATAGTGACACTGAAGTAAACTTGGAAGTCATATTTCGCGGTTAAAATATGGTGTTCTAGTGCACTCCTACTAGGGTACACTAGAACACCTTACCCCCAGAGCCTTACCCCTACGGCATAAGGGTCTCGGTGAGACGGGGGTGAGGGGGGGGGGGAGGGGGGCGCTGCAGTGATTTTGGCCCCCCCTATAGGAGGACCCTGTGCACGCCTATGATCTTGCAGTATGCTTTGCATGTTATATTTCTCAATTTAGAAATGATTAAGTCTTGATATATTGATTGGAACATGTCATAGCATAGTAAACCTAAGATGCAAGGGGACAGAGAGGAGATAAAAAAAAAGAGGGACAACACACACACCATCCCGTTCAGTGTTGTCACTCTTTTTTTTTGTGTCTTCTTTCGGTCTTCCTGCGCCTAAGATTTAGTAATGTTTGAAATTCACGGTCTTGTCTGTGCCGTGATATGTTACAATGTCTGCTATGTTACAAGTCAAGAGGGATGCCTAAATAGTTGCCATAGCACCCTATTTATAATGGCATGCAATAGCGTTTTAAATGTGTGGGATGTGTTTGGGGGGGGGGGGGGTATGTTGCCATGACGAAAATTGTATAAATTATAGGAGGCATGTTGTCTCTAAAATGTTGTGTTTTATAAACTTTACTATAACTTACCTGATGCAGCATAAAATGCCCCAAGTTAACTTCTTTGCCTTCCTTTCTGCACTTCCTTCTTCCTTCTAATGCAGCAGTAGTCACTACTAACCATGCATGTTTTTAACTTTCCGTGACGCATAACACATCATTTCGGTGCATTTCTACTACCCGCCATTGTGATAGGCAAAATATTTGCCTTACTTTTTATCTCTGCCATTCCATGTGCCATAAAATGATGAGCATGTGCTCATATCGCAATAGGTGTCCACCCCACTTTTGAAAATTTAAAAAGCGGTTAAGAACATATCAAGCACCCAGGCCAGTAAACTTCTGAATGTATTGAATGAAACAAGGTGCTCCTCCGCATCAACCACATTTCCCAGTGCGCTGGTGCAGAGCGGTGAAGCTTTCCATGCTCACTCTGGTAAGAAGCAATGAAGCTTCACATGAGAGTGCCAGCACAAAGCTGGCTGGATGCAAGCGGTGCAACTGCTTTAAGAAAATAGGGGTCCCACCAGACTACAGCACTGCTCCTGCACTGTTCTGACTTTCAGCGCTGGAACCTGCAAAGTGCCCATCCCATATTTTTTACAACTATCTCCAACCATTTGATGAGCGCTTTCTCAATATTTTACGGCACATAGCTTCTGGTAGGAATGCCAGTTTCTTTGTCTTAAACACCAGCTGGTGGAGTACCTGCGAAACTCTTGAAAACCCATTGACAAACTTGGGGAGTATGATTCTAACCCATTGTTCATAAAGCGATTGTGGTAAGATTTGTTTGTTATGCCAAGAGCACAATAACACTGATCTTGGGAAGCTGTTTTTAACCACATTTTGATATCATACATGCATAACATGCCATTTACTGCAAAATTAACAGGACACCTGAGAATGGTAAGTTATCTTGAGTATTTATCATTCTTCTGTTCTTTTCGGGATGAGTTTTGAGTAGAATCCCCTTGCTTGAATGGGAACAATATAAGGCTTAAAATTTCACTGTTAATTATTTTTCAGTAATTTTTAATACATTTTAAATAAACTTTTTATTACTAATGAAAGACACAGGACTTGTTTATACTAACACTTATTTTTACTGTAGGCTGCAAGTCTGCAAGCAAATATCAAAACTTGCCAATTTTAAATTAAGGAGTGCACAAATCATTCTTCTCTAAGAAGCTTAAAGGCTTTACTGAAGATTGGTACTCGGATAACTGACACTGCCTCACACTCTTTATAATAAAATGTCATGCTTTTGCTTTAACATTTGTGGTACACCGTTTCCCCTCTAATGTGTGGTACATGCCTTAATGCTTTCTGTAACTCTAATGGGATGTCTGGATCACCAAGTGGAGAAAGGTAATGTACTCCAAAATTTATGAAGGGGCAATAGGCTCTCAGGATTTATTGTTAAAGGTTTGCCGTTTGTCACCAGATTTAAAAAAAAAAAAAAGTGTGCACAAGAAGTTGCGCCTATAATGGTAGAAGAGTGGCGTAGTAATTCCGTAAGCACAATAATTAGGAGGTGCATCCACCAAGGACACGCTGTCGATATAATTGAGCATCCAAAACAACAATGTTATTCTTCTATGTGTCATCATTGGTGCCATTTCCTGCACTCTTTCCAGTGCACCATTTGACCGTTAACCAACAAAGTTGCTCTGCTCTCTCTGAAAGCATATTTTATACCTTTTGTGAGTGACTCTCGAAATAAATTTGCATACTGGTAGCTGTGTGTGTTTCTTTTTATGTACCACCACATTATAATTCGTTGGGAGTAGTTTATAATAGACTCCGTGACTAATGAAAGAGACGTTTAGGCAT